ACATATATACTACCTGCAATAGAAAGAAGACTTTTAGGCAATACAAAAAGAATCAGTCGAGAACAGTCGCGTTTTTGCAGAGCTCCCGAAACACTAGCTCAAAAAGTCGAAAAAATCTAAAAATATAAACAATTTTTATCTGAATATAAACCGCCTGTGGTCTGAGATCATTTAGCGGTCAAATCGTTCGTCTAATCTCAACACTTTTGTATAAAAACACTTAAAACATAGTTATTTTGGTGCGAAAGTGGGAGGGAAGAAGAAAAGAAACTTCCACATACATAAACTGCAGTGCATAAAGACTGAACAACTACCAAAAACACACACAAATCAAAACCTAATACAATTACACAAATCACTCAAACTCAAACATTTTATTAAAATAACAACATTATGAGTGCATCTAAGCGACTAAGGAGTGAAAAATCGAATACCGACATCAAGGTAGCTCGCCCGTCGGACACACAATTGCTGCAACAAATTGAAGAAAAATTCTCGAGTCAACGGAAGGAAATTAACATGGAACTTTTGCAGCTGATCGATGATAAATTCGCGGAGCAAAGGGAGTCACTAGGCTCAGAGTATCGAGAGAGCGAGGCCCGCTTTCTTAACACTCTACAGGCCAAATTCGATGTAATGAACACCGAAATACAGAATCTTACGAAACGAGTGCGAGAGCTGGAAACCGAGGCAAGAGAGGTGAATACACTGAAACAACAAGTGTGTGAACTGGATGCTCAACTGGCAGCGAAAAGCAATGCACAGGAGGCCGCGGATGTTGCATGCAACCTTCGCTGGCATGGTGTGCCGCAAGTGGAAGGGGAAAATCTCACCACTCTTTTCAATCGCCTTTGCTTTTCACTACACCTGACCCCTCCTCCGCGAGTTAGGTCTATTTTTCGAGTCCGCCCGCGCCAAAGAAACTCACTTGTTGATCCAATAATAATAATAAAAATGGATCACTGCGCGAAAAAGCTGCGTTGCTGCGGGCGGAGTGCTGGAGTGCACCGACGAACAACCAACTCACAGCTGATCTTACAGTTGATCGGTTTTGACTCGCCGGCAGCAATTAACAAAAACAAATTATGAAATCTTTAAACATGCCATGCGACTCAAAAAACAAAAGCGGGTTGCGGCCGTCTTTACTCGCCGTGGAGACGTATTTATCAAGCCTATAGACGGAGGAGAGGCTTACTATGTGCAAAGCTCTAATGAGCTTTCTGATCTGAGTAGAGATGCGGGCGAAATTAACTCAAGCAGAGATGCCGCTTTAGAGAATAATTCATTTCGTAATTAAAATATTTTTTATTTCTACTTTAGGATTTGAAATTAGTTTAATATCTTTAATTCTTGTAAGTCTTTTGTCTAGGATGAGTCGCATTGTTAATTTAGTAGTTAGTCAAATTTCTTGTCTGGTGTGTAGTCCTTGTTATTCTATTTTGATATTTAAAACTATTAGCAATGGAAGAAAACTTGAATAATCTATCAGCAAATAGTCATGCCCTTCTGCGCATCCTGGCAAAGCAGAAACCTGGTCTCAAGATTTGTCATATAAATGCCCAAAGCCTGCCAAAGAAAATTGAAGAGTTTAGGTATATGTTTGTAAATTCGGAAATTGATGTTATTTGTGTGTCTGAAACATGGTTTGTCCAGAGTCTGTGTGATGTGCTAATATCGTGTGATGGATATAATGTGTACCGTTCTGATCGTGTTAGTCATGGGGGAGGAGTTGCAATATATGTAAACAAAAAATTAAAAGCCAAAATTATTTGTCAACACACAATAAACAGTGCAATAGAATATATTTTTCTTGAATTACATAACCCGATAATGCAGAAAAATCTATTAATTGGCTGCATTTATCGTCCGCATTGTAACACAAATTATGATGATCTTATCAATCTTCTGTCAGATATTACAGTAAACTTTACTGATGTAATCCTTGCGGGCGATCTTAATAGTGATATTCTGAGGGAATCTCATCTTACCAGCAACATGGAATCGCTAGGTCTGAAACCAGTGAATCTCTCATTTCCAACCCACTTCAGCAGAACACGTAACACATTATTAGATTTGTTTTTTGTGAGTGATGTTAATAATATATGTTTGTATGATCAGCTAATCGTTCCGTCCTTTTCAAAACATGACCTTATATACCTGACCTATAATTTTGACCTTAACTACACTGACCATACAATAGTTTACCGTGATTTTAAGAATATTAACTATATACTGCTGAGCGAAGCATTTGACCAGTGTATATGGGACAATATTTACAGTCTTCCAACAGTTGATCTTCAACTCAACCTTCTTCAACATAATATTAGCCACTTATACGATAGTTTTGTTCCAGTCAAAAGTAAAACAATTCGACCGTCCGAAAAACCATGGTTTAGTAATAATATAAAATTGGCAATTAGAAAACGAAATGAAGCATACCAGAAGTGGAAAAGATACAAGACACCGCAACACCACAGCACGTTTGTAACGGCACGAAAAACGGTTACCAAACTAATCGATTCTGCAAAATCAAACTTTTTTAGGCAAAGATTTAAAAATGCAACCTCTTCGAGTCAAACATGGAAACAAATTAAAGCTCTAGGGATAGGTAAACAAAACACATCACAGGATCTAGATGTTGACATAGATGAACTCAACCTAAAATTAGCAGACTGCACAGTTCCTGAGGTCACAACCAACACGTACCTGAATTCAGTACCTGAAAACATCTGTGATACTAGGTTTAGATTTATGTGTGTTGACCAATGTGATGTCTTAGATAATATTCTTAAAGTTAAGTCTAACGCAGTTGGGCCTGACGATATTCATCCTAAATTTATAAAAATTCTACTTCCTAAACTTATCCCCTACCTTACGCACACATTTAACACGGCCCTTACCACGTCTACGTTCCCGGATTGCTGGAAAACCGCCAAAATTATCCCAATACCCAAAGCAAGCAAAGAATACCGCCCTATATCTATTCTTCCATACCTCTCGAAGGTGTTTGAAAATATTGTCGCATCACAAATAAATAATTTTATATCTGTCAACAGCCTCCTTAATGATCATCAATCTGGATTTAGAAAAAATCGTAGCTGCACATCAGCCATCTTAAAAATAACAGAAGATATTCGTCAACAGACGGACAACTCTTATGTCACCTTCTTACTGTTGCTGGACTATAGCAAAGCGTTCGACACAGTGAATCATGAAATCCTGTGCTCAAAACTCAAAAACTTTTATTTCTTTTCTAATACTGCCGTCAAACTTATGTGTTCGTATCTTAAAAACCGTCGCCAATATGTTGTATCGTCAAATATTTGTTCTTCGTTTGCGTATCTGAAGCGTGGTGTACCCCAGGGTTCGGTTCTCGGACCACTATTATTCACCCTCTATATAAATGATCTTCCGTCTGTGTTGTCGACATGTAGTGTCCATTTATATGCTGATGATGTCCAGATGTATGTTAGTCGTCCCTTAAATAGAATTAGTGAGTGTTTAGATATTTGTAGAATGGAGCTTGGTAAAGTAAATGAATGGGCAAATAACAACGGTCTCGCCATCAATCCATCAAAATCAAAGTGCTTGATCATTTTTAAAAAGAAGTTATGCAATAATACACTAAGCCCCCTGATGATAAATAACACACCAATTGAGTACGTGGAAACCGCCAATAATCTGGGTATCACATTCAATAGAACATTGAACTGGGATGACCACGTAAATAAAGCGATAGGCAAAACATATGGGCTAATAAGATCCTTGTCACTAGTTAAATGTTCCTTACCTGTTACTGTGCGTCTACTTATTGCGAAGTCTTGTCTAATACCCACACTCTTCTATGGTCTAGAGATCTATGCAAATTGTGATTTTGCAAGCCAACATAAACTGAAAGTAGCATACAATAGTATTGCGCGTTTTATATTTAATTTGCATAGATCCAACCATGTAACTCAATTTGCTTACAAAATATTTAACCTTAGCTTGGCAGATTATATTAAAAGCCGAACTATAATCTTTTTACACAAAGTTATATACACCAGAGAGCCATCATACCTATTTGAAAAACTACAATTCTCCAGATCTACAAGAACAAAGAATATTATATGCATCCGACACAGGTTTCTGCTCTCAAATAGACAATTTTTTGTTAATGCGATTAGAACGTGGAATGAACTTCCCAATTACATAAAAGAAACTAGGAGCGCACCTCTATTTAAGACAAAACTTCTTTCACACCTAAAAAATAGCAGCTCTAGTTTGCTATAAGCTGTATTATCCTATTTTAACATTGCGACTTTTCCCCAAAACTTCTTCCTTTGTCTTTTTTTTTAAATTCGACTTAATTATATTTGTCATTCTGTACTTTCAATAATTAATGTAAAATGTATGTCATTAGATTTAAGAACCAATATTGTTCGAATATAAAATTAATTATCCGTTGTGACTAGCGCAGTAATTTATAAGTTATGCAACTTGTAGCGTTAGGAAGCCAAAACAATAAATAATAATAATAATAATAAAGTTTTATCCCGATACCTCAAAAACTGAGACTAGTTTGCGTAGAAACAGAAAGACGGCCATGGCTAGATCGACTCGTCTAGTGATGCTGATCAAGAATATAAATACTTTATGGGGTCGGAAACGTCTCCTTCACTGCGTTTCAAACTTCTAACTGGAATCATAATACCCTGCAAGGATATAAAACGAGGGGCCCGGTCTTCATCTTCATGATGAATTAAACTACCCATTTTGTTCAGTTTTTGTGAACGTTTATCTGACTGTCCGATTAGGTGATGGAGCCACTGTATACATACATATGTATTAAAATTGTCAGTATTATCTAATTCATTAATGAGTTTTCACCAAAAACTATGTAATATTTGATGCATTCTGTTAAATCGCTGATAAATAGGAACCTCGTAACATATGTAAGTATGTATGTACATATGTACCTACTTTTGTATCATATGTAGGTTACATAAGTCTTTACTTACATCCTTTAACTAATGTGTCTGAGACACAACGGTCCCATCGTTTACCAATTTTTTCCTCAATAAAAGCCTCATTAGACATTTCTCTTGTACTTTTATCTTAAATCCTTTTATAGAATGTTATATTAGCTTAATTATTTTAATATAATCAATTTGAACAGTATGACTGCGTATTGCTTTTTAAAACATAACCATCGAGAAGTCCATATTTATCGTATGTGTTGCGAACGGTTTCCACTATTCGGTATTTTGCTATATTTATTTGTAGGTCTTTTCAATTTTGGGTATTTCCTAATAGCCTTTTCCCACAGAAATCCATCCACTATCCGATAAACGTTCCCTAATGATTTGTCATTTTAACAAGAGAGAACGCTATAGTCGAGTTCCTCGACTATTAAATACCCGTTATTCAGCTTAGCAACTTTAATATAAATATGCCTTCTTGTATGTTTTTCGCGCGCCCCATTTCAAATAATTTACATTTTGCATTCACATATTCCAAGTTAGAGTGACCAGCTTATTTCAGCACCAGCAGAAGTGTTGAGCACGCGGCGACGCGCCATCTATGGCACGGAATTGGTACTATTCATACACAAAACTGTGGGCGACAAGGCTTTTTGCGGTTTGTGGGCGTTAGAGGGGGCGTGGCACCAAAGCCCAAGAATATGTGTAGGAAATCCCAACCTTCTATCTTTTGTTGTTTCCGAGATCTCAGCGTTCATCCAGACAGACAGACAGACAGACGGACATGGCTAGATCGACTCGGCTAGTGATCCTGATCAAGAATATATATACTTTATATGGTCGGAAACGCCTCCTTCTAGCTGTTACATAATTTTGCACGAATACAATATACCCTTTTACTCTACGAGTAAAGGGTATAAAAATGGATTTCTTCATTGCTATTAGCAAATTGGTCAAAGATAAGGTCCTATTCAGGGATATTAATTACCCCAAAAAGCGCCCTTGCCAGGTCTTGCCAAATGGGACATGAGCTGACTGTTGCTGATTCCGTAAAATAGAATAGCTATAACTCCTCTCACGATGAGATCATTTTCTGAGTTTTTAGCGGCTGCAAGATTCTTTGGTCCTGCACCACCAACGATATGCTTATAACAGCTGACTTAAGCCATTGCAGTATAATGCAACAGTAACCACCTTATCACGCAAAAAATTAAAATTATTGAAATAGCGGAAATGCGGTAACATTTTCCCCTGAACCATAGTTGTAGTGACATTCCGCGTCTCTGTCTATTTCTTAAGGAGAAAAGTTGCGGAAATGGATTTCGGTAATTTAGGCAAAAATCCCCTCCGCCTAATAGTCTCTTCCCATACAGTCCATCCGTTTAATAGGGTCTTCCCATAGAGCTCCATCCACCATCTACCATCTGCTGAACGGATGGTCCGTAAGGTTTTGCCGTTCCGAAAATTTCCCAGTTAGTCCGCCATCCAATTTTGACGGACTTTGACGGGCTCTTTTATGCGATAGTTAGGCGATGTTTTCTCGGTGCAACTCTGAATTCTTCCTCTTGACAGTGAAAATTGGAACGATGACTGCGAGAACAAATCAAATCGATGGCAAAAATGGATGGATGGATGGAACAAATTAAATAATGCTTCAGCTCATTGTTTTTTGGGTTTTTTTTTAATTATTTGTAGTTTGTTATGAGCGGAAAAGAGTTCGCAAGCAGGTTGCTATGTGTGGGCTTAAATGTAAGCTGTTATTATTATTATTTATTGTTTTGGCTTCCTAACGCTACAAGTTGCATAACTAATAAATTACTGCGCTTGTCACAACGGATAATCAATTTTATATTCGAACAATATTGGTTCTTAAATCTAATGACATACATTTTAAATTAATTATTGAAAGTACAGAATGACAAATATAGTTAAGTCGAATTTAAAAAAAAAAAAAAAAACAAAGGAAGAAGTTTTGGGGATAAGTCGCAATGTTAAGATAGGATAATACAGCTTATAGCAAACTAGAGCTGCTATTTTCTAGGTGTGAAAGAAGTTTTGTCTTAAATAGAGGTGCGCTCCTAGTTTCTTTTATGTAATTGGGAAGTTCATTCCACGTTCTAATCGCATTAACAAAAAATTGTCTATTTGAGAGCAGAAACCTGTGTCGGATGCATATAATATTCTTTGTTCTTGTAGATCTGGAGATTTGTAGTTTTTCAAATAGGTATGATGGCTCTCTGGTGTATATAACTTTGTGTAAAAAAATTATATTTCGGCTTTTAATATAATCTGCCAAGCTAAGGTTAAATATTTTGTAAGCAAATTGAGTTACATGGTTGGATCTATGCAAATTAAATATAAAACGCGCAATACTATTGTATGCTACTTTCAGTTTATGTTGGCTTGCAAAATCACAATTTGCATAGATCTCTAGACCATAGAAGAGTGTGGGTATTAGACAAGACTTCGCAATAAGTAGACGCACAGTAACAGGTAAGGAACATTTAACTAGTGACAAGGATCTTATTAGCCCATATGTTTTGCCTATCGCTTTATTTACGTGGTCATCCCAGTTCAATGTTCTATTGAATGTGATACCCAGATTATTGGCGGTTTCCACGTAATCAATTGGTGTGTTATTTATCATCAGGGGGCTTAGTGTATTATTGCATAACTTATTTTTAAAACTTTGATTTTGATGGATTGATGGCGAGACCGTTGTTAGTTATCCATTCATTTACTTTACCAAGCTCCATTCTACAAATATCTAAACACTCACTAATTCTATTTAAGGCTTAGTACTCAACCCAACAAAAAGTGGTCCAAAACAAATAACTTCATATGAAAAACAACGTCAAAATATTTTGTTTCATATGAAGTTTTTGTTTTGGACGACTTTTTGTTGGGTTGAGTACTAGCCCTAAGGGACGACTAACATACATCTGGACATCATCAGCATATAAATGGACACTACATGTCGACAACACAGATGGAAGATCATTTATATAGAGGGTGAATAATAGTGGTCCGAGAACCGAACCCTGGGGTACACCACGCTTCAGATACGCAAACGAAGAACAAATATTTGACGATACAACATATTGGCGACGGTTTTTAAGATACGAACACATAAGTTTGACGGCAGTATTAGAAAAGAAATAAAAGTTTTTGAGTTTTGAGCACAGGATTTCATGATTCACTGTGTCGAACGCTTTGCTATAGTCCAGCTACAGTAGGAAGGTGACATAAGAGTTGTCCGTCTGTTGACGAATATCTTCTGTTATTTTTAAGATGGCTGATGTGCAGCTACGATTTTTTCTAAATCCAGATTAATGATCATTAAGGAGGCTGTTGACAGATATAAAATTATTTATTTGTGATGCGACAATATTTTTAAACACCTTCGAGAGGTATGAAAGAATAGATATAGGGCGGTATTCTTTGCCTGCTTTGGGTATTGGGATAATTTTGGCGGTTTTCCAGCAATCCGGGAACGTAGACGTGGTAAGGGCCGTGTTAAATGTGTGCGTAAGATAGTGGATAAGTTTAGGAAGTAGAATTTTTATAAATTTAGGATGAATATCGTCAGGCCCAACTGCGTTAGACTTAACCTTAAGAATATTATCTAAGACATCACATTGGTCAACACACATAAATCTAAACCTAGTATCACAGATGTTTTCAGGTACTGAATTCAGGTACGTGTTGGTTGTGACCTCAGGAACTGTGCAGTCTGCTAATTTTAGGTTGAGTTCATCTATGTCAACATCTAGATCCTGTGATATGTTTTGTTTACCTATCCCTAGAGCTTTAATTTGTTTCCATGTTTGACTCGAAGAGGTTGCATTTTTAAATCTTTGCCTAAAAAAGTTTGATTTTGCAGAATCGATTATTTTGGTAACCGTTTTTCGTGCCGTTACAAACGTGCTGTGGTGTTGCGGTGTCTTGTATCTTTTCCACTTCTGGTATGCTTCATTTCGTTTTCTAATTGCCAATTTTATATTATTACTAAACCATGGCTTTTCGGACGGTCGAATTGTTTTACTTTTGACTGGAACAAAACTATCGTATAAGTGGCTAATATTATGTTGAAGAAGGTTGAGTTGAAGATCAACTGTTGGAAGACTGTAAGTATTGTCCCATATACACTGGTCAAATGCTTCGCTCAGCAGTATATAGTTAATATTTTTAAAATCACGGTAAACTATTGTATGGTCAGTGAAGTTAAGGTCAAAATTATAGGTCAGGTATATAAGGTCATGTTTTGAAAAGGACGGAACGATTAGCTGATTATACAAACTTATATTATTAACATCACTCACAAAAAACAAATCTAACAAGAGAGAACGCTATAGTCGGGTTCGTGTCCCGACTACCTAATACCCGTCACTCGGCTTAAGGGAGTGCGAGGGAGATGGATATATATTTTTGGATTGCGTATCACTTTTTAATGAATGGTCCGATTTGAAAAATGTCTTCTACATTTCGATAGGTATAAATATACACAACAAAATTGCATTTATACTTCTCGGAAATCTTTAAAGGTGTGACCGCCAGGCACATTTTAAAATCGTTAGTGGGCGATTGTGGGCGTTAGAGGGGGCGCTCGTCTGAAATAAACTTGCGCTGCGTAGGAAGCCCAAGAATATGTGTGGAAAATCTCAACCTTCTAGCTTTTGTAGTTTCTGAGATCTCAGCGTTCATACGGACAGACAGACAGACAGACAGACGGACAGACAGACGGACAGACGGACATGGCTAGATCGACTCGGCTAGTGACCCTCATCAAGAATATATATACTTTATGGGGTCGGAAACGCTTCCTTCTAGCTGTTACATACTTTTGCACGAATACAATATACCCTTTTACTGTATGAGTAACGGGTATAATAATGTGTCGGTAGAAAACCTACATTTGGTGACCCCCGACTTTAAACCGCAACAATTGTTCAAATTGGGACTCCAATCCGCAGCATTCATCAGTTGTTGACAGGACAGTTATCTACATGAGAGCAAGTTCAGAATGTCATTCGGATTTACAAAAAGGACTCCGTCGACAGGCGGACTGACCAGCTTACTACAGAGAACGTTTATTAATGTTAGAGTCCCTGTGGGATAGATTTAGCTCCGGAGATATTTAAATAACTAATTTTCTTAATGTTAGAACACGACTATATTAACAATGAGTTTTTTAATAAAATTAAGCAACTGGTTCACGATTATAAGACAGTATTTGATAA